ACCCCGTTAACAATAGGTGTTAATTAGGTGTCAACAATAGCCATGTGAGTATCAGTCACATGGAGGCAGGGCTTAAAAGCCTGAATTTTGCCTGAAACTCAGACTGAAGAAGTCTCTTGGAGGAGAGACGAAACGTTTATTAGAGAAGAACCCGTCCAGAAGACCTATACAATTTTTTTTCTTTTTGGTCGTTTTCAGGGTTTCCCACAGGAGTTGAATTTCAACATTTTAATACATAACACACCTTTACAAACATTTTGGTGAAAAAATTGCTTTGGTAACAATTTAGTTTGCAGATTTTCACTTTCCCCTACTAACAGATTTGTCTCAAATCTAAATCAGCATTTGATGTTTAATTTATATAACTGTAGCTGTGACGGAAAAATGACTGAACTTTGACACATTGCTCTGCTTCACCAGGCATCATTCATCAGCCAATCAGAAGCAACTAAAAATGGGACGTTTAGGTTGTTTGAGGATTATATTTATACATTTAATTTCCTTCCAGGATGAGAAAATTGAACACAATATTAACAGTGTAATAAATTTTATTAAATGAACAAAGTACCAACAATGATTGCCACTAACAAACTTCTGAACACACAATGTTATCATGACAAGCTGAGGGAGTCACATTGATCAAAATGTTTAATTTAAACAGCCAGAATCATCAGCGTGCTTGTTTTTCCACATTTGGTACTGAAAGCGTACAAATGTGTCATAATATAAAAAACACAGGATGAAAAAAGTACATAAAGGAATAAAATAATTTAATTTTACAAGAATTGCACCTGTACTAAATGAGTTTTCATCATGGTTAATCAGGTTTTTTTTTCCTAAAACACTTCAAGCTCTGCTTTTTTTTAAATTAGTATTTTCTATTTAAACTTCTAGACTCTAAATTGATTTCTTCAAAACATGGAAAAAGAACACGTAAAAACTCTTTAAATTATCAGTAAAAAAATAAACAACAGGCTCCATAGGGCAATAATAAGTTACATTACTAGGTCAGTGTATAATAAGGCATACAAAAACAACATTCCACACATGAATGCTGAGGTTAATATGTGTGTCAGTCAGTGCAACACTTACACAATGTAGAAAACCTTCTGAGGTACAAAGTTGCTCAACTCTACACCAAAACATTTACAAATGGCCTAACATGTCAAACTTCTAATTGGCCTAAATCAAAATCACTGTTGCATTGCAACCAATCACAAGTTCTCATTCACAGAGGAAATGAAACGTTCAGTGTTCAGGACCCTTGCTCTCTTCCAGGTGGGCCCACATCTTCTGTCTGTGGGCCGGGGTCAAGCAGCGGCCCACCGCCTGCTCCGTCTCCTCGATCCGCCTCCGGAAGCGGTCGCGGTCTCGCGCCATTTCCTCCCAGTGTCCTTTGCGGGTGGCCTGACGGGCGAACGGCCAGGTACGCATGACGTGGACCTGGACTACAGGAGAAAACTGCACCTGGAACGTAAACACAGAAGAAAACACTTTTAAGCTTGAAACAACGTGAGATAGAGACGAAAACAAAAAAACATTTTCTACTTGCGGCTAGTTTTGCTTTAAAACACTTCAAACTAAAATGACTTTAGACAAACAGCAGGTGTCTGACTACAGCTGAATCTGATGTAACCTTCACATAAAGCAACACTGCTGACGCCTCGTGTAAGCCATGTGTTTGGTAAACTCTCTGCTGACTCGCTGGAGTCACATGATCACCTTAGTCATGACGACCAGCTAGCGTTGCTAGCTCAAAACAAACAACCGAGTGAGGCGTGGACTGTAATTTCTGACTTCCTGTAACAGACTCGTCAGCAGAGGGCATCTCCCTCCTGTTAAAAGTTCCAACATAAAACACTCTGCTGTTTCTGACAAAACTGAAAAGTCTCATCTAAGCTGTTCTTGGCTCTGAAAACACTGATAACTTCATTGTCAGAGCTGCAGTGGATTTATTATGGCGTTAATTTCTAACAGATTAGTAGAGATGAGGTAATGACCTTTTTCTGTACGGTGGTGACTCTGGTTTCCTGTTTCTCCTCAGGTGGCTTCTGTTCAGGTTTTTTCCAGGGAACAAGTACTTTGTCAGGATGACGGTGCTGCTTTAACTTCCTTCCTGGAAGAGCCGGTCTGGGCTTCCTGAAAGCTTTTGTTTCTTTCCGGTTCTGTGACGGTGGATTTTCTGTGTGCTGGACATCAAAGACGGTTGGGTCGCGGTGGAGTGTAGTGGGGGAGCTCTGGAGGCAGGCCTTGAAATTCAGTGGGTGGTACGGGTCGTCTTTAGGGCTGAGACATTTCCACAGCATCTCCTCCTCGTCGTCGTCCTCCGACGGGGCGAAGCTGCTGTCCTTCTCCTCGGTGTCAGGTTTGGGGGGAGGTGCAGGGAGCGAGGCTTGTTGTTTGGAGGTGCTTTGAGGAGTCTGAGTGTTTGCGGTGCTGGCGGTGAAGCACAGGGGGTTGTAGGGGTCTTCAGGGCTGCTGAAGAAGTCCCAGAGCCTGTCGTTCTCCTCTTTGTCGACGTCGGGGCTTGAGCCGTCTGAACCGGCCCAGCTGCTCCAGCTGCTCTCGCTGTCGGAGCGACACACCCACATGTTCAGCCTCGGAGGCCCCAGCATCTTCTCACAGGCTTTGGTCACAGACATGAGGTCGGAGTCGCTGCTGTCTTTCACTTCACTTTTGCTTTTCCCCATGTTGTTGGTTGAAATGCAGGCAGAGAAGAAGAAAGGGTTGTATGGGTCACTGGATTTAGAAAGAGACTCCCAAAGTGCCTTGCTTTCTTCACTTTCAAACTCCACTACGTTCTGCTCTTCCTCGCTGCTCCAGTGAGAGCTTCTCTCCTCCTCCGACCTCTCCGGTTTGGAAACTTTCTGACCGGTTGAATTGGATTTGAAGATGGTCTCGCTGCTCTTCTGGCAGGCGTCGTTCGAACTCGAGCTATCGCTGCTCGACACGAAGAAGTTCCAGTCGCCCGGGAAGCCCACCTTCCAGGTCGACTGGTTCAGCAGGATGCCGTCGTCTTTGCCAGCGGTTCTGGACACGAAGTCGTCCACGAGCCCGCAGCAGAGATCGTCGGCGCGCAGGCTGGACAGCAGGGCCTCGGCCGTGGACTTCCCGGAGAAGGGGTCGCCGACGTCCGCGCAGAAGTTGGAGAGGGGATTCGAACCGCCCACCACGACCCCGTTTTCTCCGTCGAACAGGGAGGAGAACAGGAAGGATTCGGACGGGTTTGAAGCTGTGCTCATGTGCTGGATGTGCTCCCCGGTCTCGTCTGTGATCCTCACGTGAACCTCAAACCTGAACATCTGAAAAACTGGAGCAGGAAAAGTTGGTTAAACTCAATTACTTTAAGCTACACTTTTTCAGTTGTATAAGGCAAACAGTTTTTTCCCATCCTATAACACCAGTACTCTAACAAGTAGTAGAACCTCATAAAAAATTGTTTAAAGCAATTAGGAGTAATATATATATA